CACAAGTGACCCAAACCTACACCAGTGATCACAGCATCCTTAAACCTATCACAGAAGTCGCAAATTTAAGCTGCGATTGCACCACAAAAGTGATGGCACTCTCACTGTGTGTTTAAGGACCAAACCTCACATGTGAGACACATATCAACGCGCAGTGTGCCCACGCTCTGCGCGCAAGCCCAAAACCACCAATAGTAGCGCATCACGCATGGACAATGGACACTGGCCTACAGGTAAAGGGTTCTGTTGCCAGAAGCACAAGCCTCAGGAACCAAGCCTCAATGCTTTTTGTGTTGTCACCCTCAAGGAAAACAATGACAGTTGAAAGTTTACTTGAAAGTTTGCAACAAACACCACAAACATAGGTTGAAAGTTTGGTTGCAAGTTTGCATCAAACCTGCAACTCCGGGTTGGAAGTTGGCATGCAAACTTGCAATGCCATATTGAAACTTCGGGTGTGCACTTTGAGCCATAACGATGAAGACATTTGCCGGCTTGAAGGCTTCATTTAAAGCTTGCCATCAGGTATGAAACTTTGACGCCAAAAATTGAACCGGGGGGTGAGAATTTGGTGCAAACTTGCAACCAAACTTTGAGGCTTGTTGTAATTGTTCAATCAAACTTGCATGTGCAGCTGTGGCGACACTTAAACCTTCGAATGCAATCCTCACAATAATGCCCAGTAAACATTCGGAGCAAACATCCACCTGCTGGCTCTTTTTTCATCTCCATGGCTCCAGGTCAGGCAGGTCTGCGTCTAGCCTCAGATGGCATCACACGTCAATGACCGCTACTCACGAAACCCTGACAAAAACGCTGACCCCAGAAATCCTAAACAGCGCCACCTTTCCCCCCAGTGTCTGGGTGCTGACAAGTCACTCAGATCTCAGGGTCGTACTTCCCGACAAACATCCATGCACCACACTTCAACCAAGACAGTGGTCCGACAACCCTGTAGTGATCCTACTGACATCCAAAAGTGACCCTGCTCACCAACACCTCCACCAGACAACACAGTGAGCAGAACAGATGCCACACCGCAGTCTCTGTTTTGCAAAAATGACCCCACAGGGGCTTTGACGGGAATGCTCTTCTCGTTCGCGCGATGCCTGAAAGAAAAGGAGAATGGGCACCTCAAGGAAAGCCAAGTCACGCAGCTGAGTTGAAGCTACGGCGCGTCAGCCTTCCAAGGTGGCACCTCCTTGCCAGCTCCTTTCCTCGGCTTGCCACAACAAGCCAGATTTGGTAGGTAAAATGCAGATGATGTCAAGCGCTGATGCTGTCAAACGCTGGTGGTGTCAAATGCTGATGCTGCCAAACGCCAGTTCAATGTCATAGACGAGCCAGTTCTGAAGGGGTTGAGGCAGGCAAGCGTCAAATGCCCATACAACGACAGCTGGCCACCTGCAAGCAAGGAGCGGTGTCTCAGGGTCTGCCACTCCAGGCCTTCTTAGAGCAACTTCTCAGCCACATGTTTGCAGCCCAGCTGCAACGCCTTGAAGTAAGCTTCGCTGAAATCCCCCAGGGTCGTGTAGCCAAGGGCCGCTTTCTCTATCCCAGTCATGTTGCCCGACCGGCGGATACTCTACCACATTCAGCGATCCCACCACAATCAGCGATCCCACCACAGTCAGCGATCCCAGATACCTACCACATTCAAGGCAGCGACCGCGCCGCCTTCAGTGGTGGCATTCCCCCCAGATGCCAGCAGTGCTTGCGACAAAGAATGCAAAGCAACACCTGTAACACGCCCGAGCCAGGACAAGGTGGCCACGGCTGTTGGCAGCAGTCACACTCTCTTCGAATGAGACGCTGCTCCTCCATTCTGTAACTGTGGTAATCAAGGAAGGCCCGAAAAAGCTGTTTTTCCTCCTCCTAGCCCAGCCCCTGGAAAGCCTTTTCAGCACAGTGCTTCCACACTGAAGAGCTGCGCCTCGTTGTTGCCTGCCACTGCCTTGGAGTCCTCTTCTGCACAGTCCTCAGAGTTGCCAGCAGCCTCGCCCAAGCTTACCCCATAGCGTGGGTGCCTTCAAGAGCTTCAAGACATCACAGCCCTCCTGACTAGTCCATTCATTCAGCGCACGCATCACCTCATGCACGCCCACAGAAGGATCGGGAGAAAGCCGCTTCAAGTTTGCCATGGCAAAGCACTGAAGCACACTGCGGGCGCAAGCGCCACACAGAGTGTCACTGTGCAATGAGCATTGCAACACGGTTTGCCTCTCTGTGCCGCCCTGTCTTTTTGTATGTTGTTCTGCCGGTGCGCTATGCTGAGGGGCTGACACCAGCTGCCCAGCGCACACAAGCAGTTTCTGCGAGCCACGCCCTGGGAACAAAACATACAATATTCCTAGTAAAAAGCAAGCGCAAAACTGACCTGAAGGCCAACAGTGATCCTACTGCACTCACACAGCCAACAGTATAATCCTAGTGTGAAGAAGAGCCCAAAATTACTTAATTAGGTAAAACTTCTGGATCTAATTAGGTAAGAAACAAGGAGTTACTCGAGCTATTGGGACAACTGTTTTTTTTGCGATATTGCGTTTCGCGCGTGGCCCTCTCTGCGGATCGGCGTGGTCGAGGTGCAAAAACGACCCTTTTTGGCAATTTCTGCTCCGCGCGGCCCTGGGCGCAGATCGTGCGTGTCGGATCGCTTTCGCTATGGTCCCGTGCAAATCTTCGCGGTTTGCGCGCGACCGTGGGATTGCGCGTGTCAGATCGCTCTCCCTGTGGTCCCGTGTGAATCTGCGCGGTCTGCGCGCGACCGTCTGCAGGGATCAGGCTGCAAAGTCGCAACTTTTAAGTGCAAAAGTAGTACGCAAAGTACCTCGCCGCAGCTCCGGCTGCAAAGTCCGTGGCAACTTTTACGCCCACGCAGCTCCAGCTGCAAAGTCGTAACTTTCAAGTGCACAAGTAGTACGCGAAGTACGTCCCCGTAGCGCCGGCTGCAAAGTCGGAAAGTAGACAGTGAAATGCGTAGAGGCACGCGCAGAGTAGACAGTGGAATGCGTAGAGGCATGCACAGAGTTTGCAGTGAAACACGTAGAGGCAAACGCATGGAGGCATGCGTAGGCCAAGTTCAGAGTGAAATGCATTGAGGCATGCGTGCGCAGGGAAAGTAGACAGTGAAACGCATTGAGGCATGCGCAGGGCAAGTACGCAGTAAAAGCATTGAGGCACGCGCAGGGAAAGTAGACAGTGAAATGCATAGAGGCATGCGTAGGCCAAGTTCAGAGTGAAATGCATCGAGGCGTGAGTGTGCGCAGGGAAAGTAGACAGTGAAACGCGTAGAGGCATGCGCAGAGCACGCAGTCAAGCACATAGAGGCATGCGCAGGGCACAGAGTGAAGCGCGTAGAAGCATGCGCAGGGAAAGTAGACAGTGAAACACATAGAGGCACGCGAAGAGTAGACAGTGAAATGCGTAGACGCGTGCGCAGGGAAAGTAGACATTGAACGCATCAAGGCATATTCAGGAAAAGTAGACAGTGAACTGCACACAGAGGCACGCGCAGAGTAGACAGTAAAATGTAAAGAGGCACGCGTAGCGCAAGTGCAGAGTGAGCCGCATAGATGCATGCGCAGGGAAAGTAGACAGTGAAGTGCATAGAGGCATGCGCAGGGAAAGCAGACAGTGAAATGCGTAGCGGCGTGCGCAGGCAAAGTAGACCGTGAAATGCTTAGAGGCACGCTGGGGGAAAGTGGACAGCGAAACGCACAGAGGCAGGCGTAGGGCAAGTACAGGGTGAAGTTCACAGATGCATGCGCAGGGAAAGTAGGCAGTGAAACGCAGAGAGGCATGCGCAAGGAAAGTAGACAGTAAGATGGCTAGAGGCGCGCGGAGGGAAAGTAGACAGTGAAACGCGTAGAGGCATGTGTAGGGCAAGTACCGACTGATGCGCATAGATGCATGCACAGGGAAGACAGTGAAATGCATAGTTGGAAGAGATGGACCGACCCAGGCTGCCGGGCCACCCGTTTTCTAGGGTGAAATTGTGTTGTTGCTTGACCTTGTTTTTACTATCACTTGGACTTCGTTAGCCTCTAGAATATAAGGCTTTAAAACTCCAACAGTAAAAGCTGGGAACAACAAGGGAGAGAATGCTTTCATGTTGGTTGTTCTTGTCAAGAATTCTGCAGATAGCCGTCAAAACCGCGAGTTCTTGACCCAAGAGTTCTTGACCTTGGCTGCCAAAGAAGAATCATCCAAGAAGCGTTCTATCTCTCTCATGGACACTCACAAACGAAGAGAGGCGTGCGAATGGAGAGATGGGGATCATCTGATTTGTCTTTCATTTGCACCGTTCCATCAAGTCGTTCATAATGACAAGAACTCCAGACATTCAACAACAAAGAATCTGGGCTGGGTTTCATATTTGGAGTTCAAGTGGTTCTAGCATTCCCGTAGTAAGCTGTCTTCAGGAAATTTCCGTACTATTAACTGTCAAGCGGTGACCTGATACGATGATAACGCGCTGCAAATTCTGGAACGGGCGAAGGAAGAGCCCGCAGTGGGAGAACAGATTGGTCTAGCTGCAGAGGTGTCAACGATTGGTGAAAGGGAAACAAAGCAAGAATCTATTTTCCAAACCGACTCCTGCCTTGTGAGCTCTCAAAAAGGTCTGCCGAGTGTCGTCTCACCTTCACTAATAAAACCTCTAGACCTAGATGAAGACATAAAGATACAGAAGTTGTTTGGAGAGTTGGGTGTCCTCATCCACCATTCTAACTCTCCTGCCTTCCTCAAACCCTGATAGACGAACGGCAGAAAGGATGTGAACGGTGAAGAGAGCGGACAGAGATAAAGGGAATGGTAAGGACTGGGAAAAAAGTGACCAATGGATTTAATAGACAAACACACTCTTCTTCAGCTTGTTCAAAAGGTGGGTGGCGCGCAGCTGATTTTTTTGGAGACATTCCAACACCCGAGCCCTTTTAAGACTTAAGCCGCAAGGGTCGGGACACATAGGGGCATGCGTTCTTGAAGGCTTGGCATCCAAGGTTCGACGAAAGAATTTGCCGGAGGCCGCAGACTTGGAAACCTGGGCATGTTTTTGTGACAGGCGCAGAAGTAGCAACACTGACCCAATCCTTGGGTCGCCTCAATCCTTCTCACCGCGGGAACTTTTCAAGGTTCAGGTTTAGAACCAAGCGACTCGCAAGAAGGGCTTTGCAGTCCGGCCTTGTCTAGCATTGGAGCCTTTGCAGTCGCCGCGTCCCCTTGCGTGTTGTCTCGTAGGACTGCGCCGTGAAGTCCCCAGCCTTCTTCAACCCCGCGCTGCGCATCACGTTGACGAAGGCCGGTCCCATTTTCAGCCGCTGGCCCCGCCAGTTGCAAGGTTTCAGCCCCCAATGTCTTTGGGAGGACGGTTCAGGTGATGTCTCAGGAGGCTCGCCAAATGCAAACTTTGACACGTCCCCACATCAAGTAGATGAGGGAATGACGGGTAAGCGCCGAACGAATGACTTGGTCCAGCGCCCAGTTTGGACACTGTCCAGCACGGAGCCAGGCAAACTATAGACACATGTGAGCCACAATCATCAAGACTCTGGCAGTTGGAGGAGAGTGAGGGCGCGCCGCCTTTTCAATTCTTTTCATGGATCTGGGTGTAGAGCGCATTACCGGGTTTCGATTATGTCTCATTTGGTGTCGGTCAAGAATATGTTAGGCGCTGGCCTGCGCTGACAAATGATTTAAACATCCTCTTCTCCACTGGTTCACGTATCCTGCGAGCGGCCCACTGGTGCAACCAACGTGAGTAGCGCTTTCTCTTGCACGCTCGATCGAAAGGCCAAGATGTGCGTCGGCAAGTGGGACGAGATCTTCCAGGTCGGTTCGTCTTCTGTAGTGGCGCAGGGCCTTGGATTGATGAGAAGGGCTGATTCCACCGACAGCTCAACGCGATGCGAGGACTTTCAGCACTGCCCATTCGGGTACCCCAGAGACCGCCTGGATTGGAGTGATAGAGTCGGGGTCGCGGCTGCGTGTGAGAAGTCAGAAGACACACGCCAGTCTGATGTGACTACGTGTCGCGTTTCATGTCAAGCGTTTTTCCTGGTGCGAAGTTTGGCGTGAATCGGTTTAGTTCCTTTGTGATGCCAGAGTTTGCAACCCGATTGAAATCACAGACTAGTGGCCGTGTGATTTTGGCCACATAAATCACGTTACTTGGCCATGACCAAACCAGCTGCAGGGCCACACCCGAAGTTGTTTCCGATGTTTGGAGAAATGGTGCCACTGAGGTGAACCGATGTATGGTGCTGCTTCCCGGCTCTCCGAGCAACAAGGCAAGGCGCCGAACGAGCTACTCGGCAACCCCCCTGTTCCCCTGCATGGCAAAGTTTGACGAATCAAGCGTGCGTGTCACACGCAAAAAGGGGGCGGCGTTTGCAGAACCGACTTTTGCTCGCAACACACACTTTTGGCTACTGCCCTGCCAGCAAACCAGCAAGCAAGCAGTTCGTGGTGTTAGTTAAGTCTTGCAATTGATCCTTGGCACCGACCCTCGCTTGCCCTGAGTGCGCTGGCCCAGGTGGGCAAGGCGAAAAGAGCGCAGGCTTTGGTCACGCGAGCCGGTGCGCCCGGTTCACTGGCCAATATCGCGCTTGCCGCGTCGGCTGGTTAAGGCGTGCCATTCAGAGCTGCTGAAGCTTGGGCGTTGCTGTGATCTTTGCATGTTGGCCGGTCCAGTTTGCCATGTGACGTGGGTTTTCCCGGACCGATACGGTTGCTCAACCGATTCAATAACGTGCTTCATTGATTGAGCCACAGCTCATGGATGGATTAATCAAAGAGAGGCGGTTTGAAAGAACCAGGAGTCAGCATCTCAAGGCTCTTGATACAGGAGCCCAGGCAGTCATGAACCAAGTGCCAGAGGATCCAGCAAAGGTGTTTCTTTGGCGGGAGTGAACAAGAGCTTCCTGCATTATCCTGCGTTGCCCATCAGATCGTGTTTGGATCACGCGGCCTTTTTTGAGGGTTTGTTGTTTGGCCGCAGCAGCAGCACGTGTTCTTGCCAGGCTGGTTCCACCAGTTCCATGCTAGTTCCATGGCTGTGTTGAGATGCAGGTGTTCTGTACAGTTAGGCGCACGCATCGCCTTGGCCACTCTACATGGAGGCCTTGAGCTTGTACATCAGCGCATTGCCCTCGTCCTTCACAGCAGCAGCACCGGACGGCATTCAAGGTAAGCAGGTAACACAGTCGCTTCAACAGCGCGCTCACCCCTGGAAACATTCTGAAGGCTCAACACATTTTGGAAGGAACGCGCAAGCGCGCGCAACATGTGAGATCGGAAGCACAAGTTTTCAGCCTACCTTGGACTGCGAGACGCAGCATACAGCAGACTGCGTGGGATAGACCGACGTCAACGTGTCGCAGACAAAGCGCATGGCGAGACATGGCGACTGCCGCACTTCGGGTCCTCTATCCCATTCTGTTCGAGCAGAGCTTTTATGACACGCGAATTCCAACTCGCCAAAGACCAACAGGACAACAAACAACAAGAGATTGTCGAAGGAGCAAAGCTGCTCCACGAGACAAAGGGAGCGCGCAGCAACCTTTGGAACCGCAAGCAGGAAACATCGCAACACACGCGCAGACCAGACCACGGAGCAGCATCACTATTCGATAAGGCACAAGCACTCACTTCAGGCGGCAGCGACAAAACACCAAGGGCCAGCGGCAATGGGCACCGGCGCGACCTGTTTCAACAAAGGCAAACGCAAGGGCAAAGGAAACCACGTGAAGGACAACTACTACATGACTCACAAAGGAGGAAGGTACTCAGTGCAATCAACCGGTTGGGCAAGGAAATCCGTTCAAAACACGGAAATGGCAGAGAGACGGCCGGCGCAACCGTCGCACTACGGCACCAACTGGAGCATCAGGGTCAGACGCAGCTGCAACAGTTAGCGCTTCCACAGCCAGCAAATCCATCAGCAGTACCCGGAACCACTGCCACTGGCAGAACGCAACAAGTGGGTCAGTCTTATGATTGGCAGAGGCAACTTTGCATGTTTGCCCACCAAAGGTTGGGGCACAATTTCCACCACAGCAGCTTGGGCAAGGAGAAGGGCCTCCGTGGAGAACCATGACCAAAGAACGCATTACGTTCACGAGTTGAGATGGTTTTTGCGTGACAAGCCACAATGGGCAAAGACTGTCACACACCGTTTTTACGTTTGCGACGCTAAACAGCAAACTCTTTCGTGTAGAACAAGGGTTCCAGCTTGTGCTGTGTGACAATCCAACATGACAAAGGGTTTGACATCAAGCTGGGTTGTTCTTTTCACAAACAGAGATCGCAGCAGTGTCGAAAGGCATAAAGTTACAGACAGACGCGCGCACACACATCGGCGTGATAGCGCCCGCAGTAATGGCGCAACAAGCTACTTCAACAGACGGGCAGAGAACGACGCGCGCCTCTTTGCGAGTGGGGCAAGAGTCCTACAACAGAATCTGGCTTGGCAAGGACACAACGACAGGTGAGTGCCTCATGGGGTCTACGTCGAATGGAGGCTCACGCCACGAAGACACAACCAGCAACCCTTGGACTGTGTGTGTGCGCAGGCCTGTGGAAGGCACCAGCGTGAGCCCTGCCAACACCGACTCTGACAACACCAGCGGCAATCCCACCAACAAGCAAGGCGCCTGCGAGGGATGCAGCAACACGCGCAACAGCAGACAGTAAGAGAGAGCCCAACACCGCAGGATGAACAGCAGACAACAAACGAGAAGGCAACAGAGCCAACATCATCAACAGCAACGTCGCCAACGCATTAGGAAAGGACAACGCTCCCAGCGCCATCGCAGTGAGATGACGCCGTACCAGAAGCAAGTGGAAGTAAGCAGCGCCGCGCAGCAACAGAAGACAACCGCTGGAGTGGCCTACAACAGGAGACGCGGGGGCCAACGCTGTAAAGCTTACAAAGGGGGGATGGCAAACAACGCGGGTGTGCGCGCAAGAGAAAGAAACCAAAGGAACCTTGCTAGAACAAATTGTGCGCGGCGCAGAGTTTGTGCGCCCAGAACCAGTAGCGCCAAGAAATGAAGACCAAAGCGCAACGAACACAAGACCAATCAGTATTTGCAGAGGTTGGCGGTCGCACAGTGACGCCAGAACAACAAGCGAACGACATGGAGCCAAGACGTTCTCAAACCAAGCCAACAACACGAAGCGCTACACAGAACCCCGTCACAGACCACGACATACTTGTCATATTGGGAGGAGTTTGTACAACGGCGTTGGTGTAGAACTGGTCGGCCTGCGCAGGAGGCGTAGAAGTAAACGTCCGCAGACACAGGTATGAAGTATCTCCTGTGCTTCAGTTGATATCGTGCGATTGACGCCACGAATTCAACTGTTAAGATGCACGGCTTCCGTGTTTCCCAGACCTCTGTGGTCTTGTTGGAGTTCTGCGCGTTTGACCATGGCCTTGTTCCTTGATGATCTCCATGACCGTGTGTCGTCCCTTCGATGTCATCGCGTCAAATCCGTTGCGGATGTCGGCAGGCCTTTTAGACCGTCCCGTCGAGAACATGGGTTTTTTCTTTCGCGTACACAATTCCAATGCACCTGCTCATTCCTATGTGAGGTCCTCTAAAAGCATGTTCTCCGCCGGTGTTGGTGCTGCGGCGTGCTTAGGACGGCTGTGCTACAAAGTTGCGACTTTCGAGCCACAGCTCCGGGAGCCCGTTTCCTTTACTATGGCTGTACTACAAAGTTGCGACTTGCGAGCCAGAACTCCGGGAGCACGTTTCCTTTACTACGGTTGCGCTACAAAGTTGCGACTTTCTTTGCCATCTCAGCAGCGCCGATTCTACCGACTGTTGCGGCGGCATCGCCACCAGCAACTTTGAACAGTCCCGGTCATGAAGACAACGGTGAAGAGCTTGAACTGCCGCGTCTTGAGCAAGAAGAAACAACTCCACCAACGCAGAGCAGTCCACCAAGGAGAAGACAGGGAAGAAGCCAGTTGACCAATCACCTGAGCCTTCACCCAGGAACGAGCTTGCCTCTTTATTCAGTGGCAATCCGAACAATCTTCTGAAGCAGCAGGGGGACCTGCTGCTGGACCTGAAGCGGTATGAGTCTCTTTCCAGGAACAGCAAAATGGACTTGCACCAATGCCTTTCCCAGGCTTTGGAGAAGTGCATCGACAGCCTCTGAGAAACGCACTTCTGCAGCTGCTTGCCACGAACCCCAAGATGAACAGCACCAGGTTAAATGGTACTGTCTGGACAATGAAGGCTGACTGTGCTGACTGTGCTACTGCTACTAAGCTATGCGCGAAAGCTTGCCAGGCCAGGCAAAGGTTGCTTTCAGAGCAGAGGACGAAGCTGCCTTGCAAAAAGGGAGCACAAACAGGCCGGTGGGTTTCCACAATGTTTGTGAGGTGGAGGGCTAAAGCCGCTCATTGCCATGCGCCGCGGCTGCTCTGTCGTTCTCGATGACGGAGCAGACATCCTGCAGGACGCCAGCTTCATGAGCGCGAAGGCCGAGGGGGAAGCCCTTGAGAAAGGAGCCCCTTGCCAAAAGGAGCAAAAGCCACAGCCCCCAAGCCCCTTGAGAAATTTGCGCCAGTTTGATTACTCGAACTTACCGAGCTCTGCGATGGTGCATGAACCTTGATTTCCGACATGCACCTCTCCTCAGCAATCACACGTGCAGTGACCAATGCGATGCCCAAGAGAAGAGCATCCCCCCTGCGGCCCTCACCAGAAGCAGGAGAAGAAGTCAGCAATTTCCGCATGGGGAGGAGTACAATGACAAGGATCCCTCATCCGAGAACAACGAGATGGAAATCAAAAGCGCCGATCCGCCATCAAGGGAGAAGAAGCAGAAGAGCGAGCTCAAGCCAGCACAGCCATTGAAGCTGACGCCGAAGAGCAAGGTTTCAGCAAGTTGTTTTGACGAAGATTCTGAGTCCGACAACCCTCCTCAAGGCAAGGTTAACCCGCCTTGGCCGCGGACTTACTGGATCATCCTCCTCCATTGCGTGAAGGCGCGCTACCAAGAATGCCAAGACATCCTGGAGGCGGACCCGAACTTCAAACACGCTCCGAAGCATTTGCGTGAGCTACTTCCTCAGGGTCAACTTCAACAATTTCTGGTATCCCACACGCAGGGGCTATGACATCAAGACTCGGGAAAGGAACTTGGAGTCGTCATCTTCCCCGCAACCAGATAATCGACGTGGACAAGAGCATCACAAACACCAGATCCCTGCGCAAGCACTTCAACATCGGGAGAGGAGGAGGTTCGAGCGAATGAGCAGACTTTTCTCAGCAGAACTTTGCCATCCGAGGAAGGGACAAGATGACGGGAAGAGAGATGATGAAGACGGACCCTGCCAGCCTTCAGCCGCCATGGGAGCCATAAAAAATCATTAAAAATCATTCGGCGAACTTCTGGCCAACAGGCCGAATCTGTTCCTCATGATGGCATTCCCGCGGCGTGACAAATCAAAATTCAAAATTACATAGCTCATACGACGAAATGGTCGCCCCCAACATCCTTGCGCTCTGATCTCAGCGCGTGCGGGCTTGATTCCCTCGCCCACGTCGACCC